CCTTTTGAGAGAGAGAGAGAGAGAGAGAGAGAGAGGGGTGTGGCTTGTGCATGTGTGTTTGTGGATGGTAGAGCGACAGTGAGGGAACATGTATGTTTCTGGAAGTGAAACGAGGCAGCAGAAGAACAGAGATCTGTGATGTATTTTGTGAAACAAAAGAACAGCTAAATAAATGCAACGGCCTCCCAAGAAGAGCTCGCCTCTCTCCAGTCGTTTAAGCTAAAGTTGGTTATTGAACCTGAAGCTTGTGGCTTCTGCCCTCCTCGACTACGGTCTGGGAGCCGACAGGAAAGTTCAACACACAGTTGGCCAGTCCGCCCCTTTGTAGCATATTATTTAGATGAGAGATGAGCAGATCGCCACTGGGCTTTCAACTAAATACACAGCCAAAAAATGCCTGCCGACCCCTGCCATAGCCAATCAAACTGCTGCTTGTGTGGACGGGCCGTAAGGATGGGACGCTGTTGACCTCAACTGATAGGGCGTTGGAAGGAACAAGCTGTGTTTTCGAACACCTTTTTGGTTAGATGCCTTAAATAAGGTCATATATCAATATCACAAGCCTAAGATATTTCGTTCTATACGTCAGTAAATACCTCACTCGTGAATGGCTGAAGCTTCTATTTGTCATATATAACAAATATATGCTAACAAGTTTCTAAAAGAGACTAAATCACAATTTTTTTTTCTAAGCCTAACCCTAACATTAGCGTTTTACTTCTGACCTTTTTTGGGAACAAAAATGAACCCTAATTTTTTTCCTGCAGAGGAGTCCGTGAGCAGCCGTCCAGCCTGGGATCTCCCCACCGTCCCCGAGTCGCTGCTGTCCACCGTGGGCGACCACGACGTCACACTTCCTTCCAACATCACCAGCCCCTTCTCCACCCACCAGTGGAACACCACCACTCCGGCGCACACCAGAAACACCTCACGGCTGACGACCACATCAACTAGCATCATAACCACATCTCTACCACCAACAACCACCAACTCAACTCTACCGTCATCCACCACAGCACAAACACCAAGGGCACCGACTGAAACCACCAGCCAGGACACTGTGACCAACGAGAGCCTCCAGCTGACCACAGTAACCACGACGACGCCCATAACGACCACCGCTGAGGTGATGACGACAATGGTGCCAACCACTGGGAGCGCATCAACAGAATCACCAAATACAACCGCCACTACAACCACGCAGCAAACCACAAGCCTCAAACCCACCACAGTGACTACAACCGAGCCTACAACCACCACGACAACCACACCTGCCCCCCCCACCACCACTACTACTACTTCAACGGTCGCCCCAACTACTACCACCACCACCACTACTACCACCACCCCTCCTCCAACCACGACCACTATTCCTGCACCTACTACTACTGTCGCCACCACAACTTCTACTATTACCACTACAACCACAACCACAGAGGTTCCCACCACCACTGTGTTCATCCCAATCGAGACCACGCCCCCTCCAACCACGACCACTGAACCCCCGTCCAACACCAGTCCAGAAGAAAGTCCACTTCCATGCAACGTGACGGAGAAATACTGGGTCAGAACAGGTAGGTGTCTATGATAAACAGCAAGTAGAACACCAGACTTGTGAGGCAATAAATATCAGTTAAATATTTGTTAGATGAATGCCTAAAATCTAAAGCTAGGGCAGGTAGTTTTTATCTACAATGTTCTTAACGTTACACTATGTAAGGGCATGCTGGTTCATTTTGATGGAAAATGTTATTTAAAGCAAGGATATATACAGCGATTTCAGAAGTGAAGGCACAAAGCAGCTATTATATAGATGTAATTACATGAAAATTCACCAAAGCAAGGGGCAGATCTTCCTCGGACATAAACACTTCTATAAATATGAGGCTGGAGATTGTTCACTTTATTACACAGAGAGATGGGTTGATACTACTGTACTAACGACTTCACTAAGGTCGGCAATAGATGCAAAATTGCAACATTTAACCAACAGACAAGCTCCTGATTCCCTATTGTTGATGTAAGATTTGTCAGAATATGAACACACAAAATATCAACACGTATAAAGCTTAAATGTATTTTGTAATTTCTTCCTCCACAGTTCTCTCCATTGAGCTGCGTAGGAACCGCCTGGATCTGATCCTGAAACAGAATCTCTCTAAAGGACTGAGCCACGCCCTGCAGAGAGCACTGAACGACTCCACAGCCTACGCCCAGGTAAGTGTCTTACAGGCTCAGATATAGTAGCTACAAACAATTTTTTTTATGTAACTAATGTCTTTTTTAGCCAGATCCACAGTCACTCCACTAAGACGAACCCAGCACTTTTGTTGCCTTAAACTTATCAAGTAGTTTTATTGCGTTGAATGGAGTATGAAGCCAAAACGGCCTGACTCCTTGGCCTGAGACCAAAATGCCCGGATCTTCCCTAGATCTTCCTGCAATATTCCGCATCCACAGGGCCTAGAGCATGCACACTCACGTTTTCCTTAAGCCCCACCTTCAATCTGCTCCGTGACTGCCAGTCTTGGCTGGCTCAAGAGGTTAAATAATTCAAAATTCAGCTATTTTCACGATTTCTAGACCATTATGATTTAGATTAGGACTATTAAAATGTTCCATCTATGAAGTTGATTTCCCTAAATAAAAAATGTCAGATGATTTACAGACGTGGCTTTCCCGATGTAAGTCAATGGGAACAATTATTTTTGGGCCCAATGGCATCACATGACTGACTTGGCAGTTGAAGTACAACATTTTGGCCAAACCAAAATAGCTTCAACGTCCAACATCCTTGTGTCCTGTTCTCGCAAAGGTAAATGTGGAAAAGACACAATGTAGGAGAAAAGCACCATCCCTTACAGGTTTGAAACAGAAGCTACAGATGTACCTATTTAAAGCTAACAAAGCCACCGTTTTCGACGAGGTTGGGAGATAAAATGTGTTTGACCACTAAGCACATGTTTAGCAACATGAAGTTATTTGTGAAAATATGGAGTTGACTGATCAAGATTACTCACTTCCTACTCCAACAGGTCTTTATGCTCTTGGTGTAAATTAAATGATCACCGGGGTCCACCCGCTTCTCTAAACTCAGTAAAGTGCTTTCCTTTCTGATGATAATAAGAAAATCTAATCTTTAAATAACATTTGGCTGCATGTGTGTAGATATCCTATTGTTCAGCGTGCCCTTCACGATACTCTAGTCTATAGTATTAATCATTTTCTACTCTTGCCGCTGAACAATAGGATATCTACACACATGCAGCCAAATGTTATTTAAAGANCAACGCTGTGCGTAGAGGTGAGCCCAACCAGATCCAACTGGTAACGCTCCACCTCCCGCACAAGCTCCGGCTCCTTCCCCCCCAGAGAGGTGACGTTCCACATCCCCAAAGCCAGCTTCTGTCGCCCGGGTCCGTCGAGACCTTCTGCTTTCACTTCCACTCTTCTGGCAACCCCACCTACCCCATCGCTGTTTCCCGTAGGTGGTGGGCCCACGGGACGGAGAAGCGGAGGTGTTGCCCATGTTGCCTTTTCGGGCTGTGCCCAGCCAGGCTCCGTGGCAAGCCCGGCCACCAGACGCTCGCTGACTTGTCCTCGCTGGCGTGTCCTCGCTGACGTGGACCCCGGGCTTCCTCCGGGCCGGGTATCCTCACTTTGTGTGTCGTCTTTCATGAGATCTTTGAACCAATCTTAGTCTGGCCCCTTGCCTGAGATCGATTTGCTATGGGAGACCCTACCAGGAACACAAGATTCCAGACAACACAGCCCCCAGGTTCATCAGGGCACACAAACCTCTCCACCACGGTAAGGTGCTGGTTCTTCAAAGAGGAAACAACTATGCAAATATAAAAACCCAAATGTGCCAAAACACATTTAAATGAAGAAACATTTCACCAACTTGAACGTCAACGTCAAAACGCTGCAAACACAAAATGCTGCAAGAAGCACCAAACACAACATAAACTGGGACACTGAAAAGTGAAGCACACAGCTGGGACCGGAGCACTTGTTGACGTTCAGGGATTATAATGTATGCCAATTGTCACTGTCAATGGAAGAGTTGGTCTGTTTTACAATGCATATATTATATAATTAGAAATGTCTTGTCAGTATATTTGAAATGACTACGTTAGCTAGCTAGCTTACAGTTGATCTGCAATAATATCAGAAGTAATCATTTGATCACATTGTTAAAATAAGCCAATAAAACTTACATTTTCGGTACATTTCCACTGAAAGTGTCAATTGGCCAACTTTATTATCATTAATCATCAACAAGTGCTCCGGTCCCAGCTATGCGCATCACTTTTTAGTGTCCCCAGCTCGGTTCGTGCTTATTTAATTATTTTTTAAATTAGTTTTCGTTTATGCAGTGCTTTCAGTAAATGCTGCGCATGATTGTCAAGCTGGTGTAGATGTTTTCCATTTGCATGTTTTTGCACATTTGTATTTTTGCATAGTTTTATGAAACGGCAGTGTGTTCCTCCTGATGTTAGTGTTTTTGATCGTTTTGGCACGTTTGCACCAGACGGCCACTGTACATTATAATCAGGGTTCATCACCTGTTTTCAGCTGCAGGTGGATGCTCGGAGCGGGCATCCAGGTTGCCACAGGAACCAGAACGGCCTTAACCAATGGGGTGTGCTGCCTGATGTCCGACAGCAGCTTGTCGAAACCGTAGATGTGCATCGCCTCCATCACCAGGGAGGATATGTAGACGGTTTTGCCACTGGTCACGTAGTAACCTAATGTCACGTTGTGGGGGCTGCAGTCGTCGTGTTCCACCTGTGAAAGAGAGAAAGTCATATTCAAGTCTTTTGTTTGCTTCCCTATCACCTATTATTTCTAAAGAGGCTGTTTACAAAAGAGGCTGCTTACATGTATCCTAAAAACACAGTGTTTGTTTAGAGGATTTGTGTTCTTATATTTCAAAGCACATACACTACAAAACGGTATCAGAGAAGAAATCAGAACCAGGTATAACAGGTGTATCTTTTCAAATACTGTACATGCTGCACTAGCTATGTGTTTAGAATACAAATGCATCATACTGAGGAAATGTATAATCCCTGTTTGTTTTTTAAATTAAATGCAAGTCTGTCTCCATATTTTAGCTCCAGCCTGCACAGTGATAAATCTGACCAACGGTGTCCTGGAAAAACCCAGAAACAACAATCGGTGGTGAGTCAAGGCTCGTATTTCTGGAGCCAAACACTGCCATCCTCTACCCTCCACCTGTATCCTCTCTGGGCAGCAAGGGCTGTTGTTACGATGGCTATTTCCTCAGGCTCCTTTCCTTCTCCTCTCTTTGCCTTTACACTCTCCTTACCTACCGTCTCTCCCTTCTTTCCTCCTTCCATCTTCTTCCTATCTCCTCTCCTACGCTTTCTTCTCCTCACTTCATCCTTGGTTCTCCTATCCTATCTTCTCCTCTCTTCTCATCCTTTCCTCCCTCCTATCTTTTCCTCTAATCTTCTTTAATTTTCTCTCCCCCTCTCCTCTTCTTCTCTGCTTTCCTTACTGCTCTTCTCCTCTATCTTCTCCCCCGCTCTTCTCTGCTTTCTTCTACTCTCTTCCTCCCTTATTCTTTCCTCTAACACCCTTCCTTCTCCTATCTTCTCCTCACCTCTCCCCAGGCTTATCTTTTTTTAGTAAAGACTCATCCCTGTGTTTATTATTCTCTTCACTAACAACTATAACTCATCCTACAGGTATGTAGCATCCATAAATGGTTGACAAACTACCAATAGATGTCAGCATGTAATTATATATGTTTTAGTTAATTCAAACACATTTCAAAAAAATCCTCTAAGGGATTTCTACATGGGTGTAATCTGTGCTAAAACTATAATAAGCCTGTAGGAATATTTTTAAATTAATAAATGCTTTACTTCAGTTCTTACTTTCTGTATATTTATAATAGTTTATAAAAAGTAAACATAGTTATATTATTTCCCCCTTTGGTACATCTTATTTCCTCTTATTGTGTTCTGTTTAAACCATTGCCTTTTAACCAAGTCTGTCAACGTTAATGTGTTAACTCTCTTGTCGATTGAATCTGGAAACCTGGAAATATATTTAGTATAAATAAATATATATTATAAATATATAATCTTAAAAATAAATCAACGCAAATTATTTACATTAAGGAAAGTCATTTTGATATTTTGACAAACCATGCACCAGTTTCTTGAAGTTGCACAGTGTGAGATATTGGACCGAGTCACCACAGTGGGAACTGATAGTGCTCAGAGTATGATTGCAGCAGAGATAATATAGTCAGGGCTGCACATGACTGGTGCGCAGATGCGCATGCGCACCTCCGCCAAAAAATGAGCACCGGGTCATTTGAAAAAAGGCGCATTTGCGTACCAACCATACAGTCTATGGTACCAACATTGAGAGAGAGAGAGAGAGAGAGAGAGAGAGAGGGAGAGAGAGAAGGGAGAAGAGCAAAGACAGGAGAGAGAAGAGAAGAGAGGGAAGAGAGAAGAGAGGAGAGAGGAGAGAGAAGAGAGGAGAGAGAGAGAGAAAGATATTTGCGAGTTGTATATTAACTGAGGGCCGGCCCGTAGCACTGGGGTTATAACTTTTCGCCTAGGGCGCCAGATCTGGGGAGACGCTGCGCTGGCAATAGAGAACCCCAGTGACGCGTCGTAAAACCCGGAAGTAAGTTAGCATTTTTAGCACTTCCGGTTCCTTCCTCAAAAAGCAATGCATTTTTTCCATAGGGTTTTGGAAAATAGCTCGAAATAAGGTCTGTGGTTGACACAAATTTAATTTAACAGGTAATTGACGTTTTTTTCTACGACATTAAATACTTCAGCAGTGACCCCACTGGGGATTTTTGAAGAGTTTACGTGTCTGAAAAACGATGGTTGTTACCGAATGGCTGAATAGGACTACAGAAATTGTCGAGGCCAAACACGTAAACACTCCCGTTAAGTTTGTTTTCCCCTGTGTTCTGCTTGAAAGCAAGTACCTGCCTATCTTTAGTATCTGTATATCTATATCTGACCATTAGAATCTGTATTTTTGAAATTGTCGTTTTTAACACCGTAGTTTTACAAATTATAGAATAATTAATTACCAGTGTTTTCCAATTTTACTCGGCAGTTCGTTTCGTTGGCTAACGTTAGCTAAAGCTAGCGCTACTAGTTAGCTATGCAATGGTTTGTTGCTTTGCTCCGGGTTGCAGCCACAGGTCTTCTCATGAAACGTGCTTGTTCTATCGTTTCCCGGCCAATGTTTTCCAAAAGAGAGTCTGGATTCGTGCCATGAGGTAAGCTGACGTTACATTTTTGTCCATGTCACGGTGAAATGTAAATAATGGGTAGTGACTGTATCGCCGTTATAGAGATGGCGCTGCTGAAAAGACCGCAACATAAGTAAAGATAATGAATACATCCTATTAAAACCTGTGTGGCTTATATGATAAGTCTTATTAGTACAAGCAGCATAACGTTTCACCATGTAACTAAAGATTG